TATAAGGTATAACAAGCCTTTATTGTGTGAGGTAGGTGCTGACCCAGTACCACTGTTTTCTCCTTTCCAACTTCATATTGTAAAACAGTACACAAAAATACTTTTAAAGAAAATATACTCTTATATATCCCTTGTCTTGGTCTTCAGGCTGCTGTAACAAATACCACAGACTGGGTAGCTTATCAACAATAGAAATTTATTTTTCACAGTTCTGGAGACTGTGAAATCCAAGATCCAAGCACCATGATGGTGGTGTTCTGGTGAATGCTTTCTTCCTAGTTCATTGCCAGAGTCTCACAGGGCAGCCACTGTGTTCTCGCAGCATGGAAGGGGTTAGGAAGATGTATGAGGTCTCTTTTAAAAAAAGCATTAATCCCATTCATGAGGGCTCCACCCTCATACCGAAACACCTCCCAAAAGCCTCATCTCCTAATACCTCACATCAGATATTAGAATTTCAACATATGAATGAAGGAGAGGGAAGAAACAAACATTCAGACCATAGCACCCATCGCTCAACTTCAACAATTATCAACTCATGACTGACCATGTCTCCATTCTACCCCCATGTATTAACTCTCATTACCCCCATTCCAGTTATTGTAGAGCAAATCTGAGATACACGCTCAACTATTTAAGACAAAATTATACATCTTTAAAAGACAAATACTCCTCTATTAAACATACCCAAAGTATCATCCACTGTCTTACACACATAATTGAATAATAATTCCTTAATACAATCAAATATCCAGTCAGTTCAAAGTTCTTTACTGAAGCACTGAAAGAATGAAATCACCTTATAATATTTTAGCAAAATCTCTTGTTTAAACTGTCCAAGTATTTTATAAGCACAAATAAGGCCAATAAGAGCTTATTTACATTTTTTAAATTACATATAATACACTAAAATTAAAGTTACTTCTCTTTTATTTTTAAAAAATTGTCTCTTTGAGTAATATAAATATTATATAGTTCTTACCCAAATTCTAATTCCCTCAACATGGCTAAGTCTAGAGTAGAAACATTATGGCTGATGGCTCTTTTATTTTTTTAAGTAGGCTCCATGCCCAAGTGGGGCTTGAACTCACAACCCTGAGATCAAGAGTCATGCGCTCCACTGACTGGCCAGCCAGGTGCCCCTGATGGCTATTTTAAAAAACAGTAAACCATATAAACCAAATTTGACCAAATTTAATATTTGGATTTTTTTTTTTTAATTTTCCCTATAGGGGATTGAAAATGGAGGAAACTGTTGTTAACTCAGACTGTACCTGAATTACAATCAACTAGGCACAAAATGGGTTTATCCCTAACACCATTCTAAGTAGGAAAACCCCTCTTATCTGTGTTCTTAAGGTCTCAAATTACAAAGATCCTAAGGCAGTGATTCTCAAACTTAGCTTGCATCAGAATTACTAGGAGGGCCTGTTGAAACAGATTGCTGGCCCTACTCCCAGAGTTTCTGTTTTAGTGGGCATGGGTAAGAGCCTGATAATTTAGATTTGTAAAAAGTTCCCAGGTGACAATGCTGCTGGTCTGAAGCCCACAATTTGAGAATCACTGATCTAAATTTTCGAAATCTTGCACATCTGTATAATTTGGCATCTGTTAATCCCCACAAAACAAAGAACACAGATTTTGGAATAAGACAGGGGTGGGTTCAAGTCTCAGCTCTTCCCCCTTGCTAGTTACAAATTTGGGGGGGTAAGTGAACATTTTTAAAACCTGAGTTTCATCTACAAAGTAACTAAGTTCCAACCTTTCCAGTAAGAAGAAACTTTTTTATTGGTTGCCCTCAGGGCACTTTGGAATATCACCTATTAATCTGCAGTCAGGGTTTAGTGTAGGAGGGTGACATTTATTAACTTCTCTTTGCATAAGAGTTTTATGACAAAAATCAGCCTGTCCTAGCTGTCCCAAACAGTTGGAAGCTATCTCTGGACTCACTTGGCTTCTGACATTCAATCTGATGAAACATGAACCTTAGCACTCTCCAAGTTCCGCCTTTTCTGATATACTTATGTCACTATTTTACAGTTCCAAACCTCAATTTATCTTGGTCTGAGACTTTTCTCTACAAATTAACCCAGTTCATTACCAAGTTAATTCACTGTTGCACTTTTTTAAATCATGGCTTCTATGAATAAATACGTAGTATGTATTTAGTATAACAAGCTGAACCCAGTTAATTTCACATTCCTTACTTTTTAAAGATTTATTTACTTCAGAGAGAGAGAGAGAGAAAGGGAGGGCATGAGCAGGAGGGGTAGAGGGAGAGAGATGAAAATAGAATTTTTATCCTAAAAGAATATAAAACTCTAGGAGAGAGTCTAGATTTCACATCACAGAATACTAGTCTTGGGATAATCAAATACAATATTACTGTAGAACATTCAAAGCAAATTTTAGATAGAGTGAACTCAAACTTGCTGGGGTATGTATTATCTCCTAAAAGGCCATATAAATTTATTAGCTATCAAATATGAGAATTTTATGTGTTTGCATTGCTTATTAAACATAATCTGGTGGGAAAACAGCAAAGAAAACTGCTCACAACAGTACAGCAGCTGATACATATAACTACATTAGAAGGTAAGCCTGTGTCATTAGAGTAATGGTTATACGTACTTATTACTTCATTACAGTGAAGATTAATCTGCTTCCAACTATACATTGATGCCAGAAGGACCTAGATGAAAGCTCACAAATTGCAATAATAAAAAAACTTCTCAGAGGGACCAAAAATGCTACTATTTTAAAAAAAGATTTATTTCTTTTAAAGAGAGAGAGTGCCCATGCGTGCGGGGGAGGGGGGGATCTCAAGGAGACTCCCCACTGTGCACAGATCCAGATGCAGGGCTCAATCCCAGGACCCTGAGATCATGACCTGAGCCGAAATCAAGGGTCGGATGCTTAATGACTGAGCCACCCAGGCACCCCCCCTTTTTTTTTTATTTCATTCAGTGCAATGTAGTCATTTGTAAAGGACAGTAGAAATTACATACAGCACAAGAGAAAGGGCTGAGCTTTGGAATATGATGGAGATGGGTTCAAGCCTCAGCTGTTTTTCTTTGTCAGTTATACAACTTTGAGAGCAAGTGGTCAAATCCCAAAACCCAAGTTTAATTTGCAAAATTTAGATAATTCCCCCAATCTTTTGGATCATTTTGAAGACTGAATTAAATTTACACTGAAACTTATCTGTGGCACAAAGAAAGCACTCAGTAAGTGGCAGTTAATACTTACTTCATTAATAAACAATAAAGCTAACTTTTGAAAATCTGCCCTGAATCTACTTCAATAAAAATAATTCAAACTATTTGTATTTCAAAGATTTCTAAAGGATTTAATACATCTCTGATGTTACTCCTAACAGAATTTTCAGAAAGAGTTTTCAGTTCACAAGATTTTGTGGTTATTTTTATCATTAAAAATAAATTGTAGGGGGCGCCTGGGTGGCTCAGTTGGTAGAGTGTCTGTCTTCAGCTTGGGTCATGATCCCAGAGTCCCGGGATCGAGCCCTACATCGGGCTCCCTGCTCAGCGGAGAGTCTGCTTTCCCTCTCCTCCTGCTCATGTGCTCGTGCATGCTCTTTCTCTCTCTCTCTCTCAAATAAATAAATAAAATCTTCAAAAAATAAATAAAAATAAATTGTAGAAAATTTAAGAAAAATAGATGTTACTTCTTTATACTGTGTTTAGTTTTATCAATGTTAGACCATAATTGTATTTTTTAATATCACAAAGACATTTCATGATGGATATAAGGAGATATACTTATTAGGATATTAAGCAAGTATACCCATAAGTACATGAACCTACATATGGATATATGGGGGTATCTAAAACATAAGTGGATATAAGTAGATTTACCTAAAATAACGATGAAATCTTAGAAACTCTTCTTATAGACAAAAATAAACTTTTTCATTAAAAGTTTTAATTTTAACCTTCATAATACAAGTATATATGCTTTCTATACAATATATCCCCCATAAAAACTGTATCTGAGAGGCACCTGGGTGGCTCAGTCGGTTAAGCATCTGCCTTCAGCTCAGGTCATGATCCCAGGGTCCTGGGATGGAGTCCTGCGTCGGACTCCTTGCTCAGCAGGGAGTCTGCTTCTCCCTCTGCCTGCTCTGCCTGCCCCTCTCCCCACTTGTGGTCTCTCTCTGACAAATAAATAAAATCTTTAAAAACAACAACAACAAAAAACTTCCTGAGTTAATGTATAAATAGTATGTTTAGATGATAAAATACATTTCTCCATTTAGACTCTACTAACAGCCAATCACTATAATCTCTGCCTACCTATATATGAGTGACTGATTCCTCAAGCTCTGGGTCTGGCAAGCCATTTACCCAAGCTACAGCCAATAGAATATGACACCACACCCTAGTGAAAAGCAACCCATTAAAGGTTGAACAGAAGATAAACTAAGGGTCTCAGTGATAATTAGTGTGAGAACTCTGCTTTCTGGTCACCCCAGATTGAATGGGGAGTGACCAATTTGATCCACTATGGGAATTCTGAATGTGAAATAAGAGAGAAGCTAACATGAGTGAAGAAAAACAGAATCAGTAAAAACAGAAAAGGAGAGTAAGAAACAGACACAGAGAAGCTGAGTCTCCAGTATTCCCTTCTTTATTCAACAAATATTTACTAAACACAAGCAGTGGGTTACATGCCAGTGTGTTAGGACAATTACAGCAAGTGCCACTAAGAGAAGGCACCATTTCTAAGTGAATAAGATAAATGGGGCATCAGGACTGCTGTCAGGTCAATAGGCTTCCCAAGTAAACAGCAACCTCAATACTTGTCAACTTCCAACTACAGATGGGAAAAAAGAATGCAAAATGTGAACAAAGAAGTTTCAAAGAGATTGCATACCCATGTCTAGTCCCATTCATAACCCCTCAAAACTTCGCCGTTAAAAGTGGGACCAATGTGATCCTGACCCATATCAGCTTTTCACTGTAAGGGTAAGGGGGGTGGGGGGGAGGACTACAGTATATGTACAACATTATACTTCCCAAAGAATATTAGCACTATCAAAATTTTCTGCATTAACAAAATATCCTCAGGGTGCAATTCTGAATACCAGACAGGGCTGCAAATGAGAGGGTTAATAAAAAGACATCCCAAAACTGTTTAAGGGACTTAATCACAGGGATTGCCTTGGCAAAATTTAAAAATAGGTTATGATAGGTTATTTATCTTTGGTACCCACAGCCCACCTTTGCTACAAGCCCCAGCCTATCCCACTGTGTTCTCTTCCCTATCAAAGACTCTAAGAAAAGAATTTGGTATCAGTGATTTGAATCTTAATGTAGTAATAAGTCAAACATGTTCTCTTCCAGGCTTATTTACATTTATGGCCTTCTAACAGGTAAATGAAAGGCACTGTTGACTATTAACTGATTTTAAGCATCAGTGAATGAGTGTTGACAGAGGTATCCAAGAGAGAAGAGTTAATATTTCCTGAAATTACTACTGAACAGAATCTGTCAATTTATTACCTGAAAATTAAAGATGGTATAATTTTTTTAAATGACAGTTGTTTTAAAGACATATTTATAAAGGAAAATAAATTAAATGGTGTGCTTAGTCTACCCAACCTCCTACACTTTAAAAACTTACACAATGATTCAAGGTTTGATTAGTAAAGTGTATGTAAAATTCAATAACACTAAAAAGCGACAATTTAGTATACTGAATGATTTATCACCACATGACCCAAAAAACAATTACAAAATGAACATGTGAATATCTGTTTAAATGAACTATCAGTAAGTTGTAAGTTATATCTAATATTGCTATGCTTGGTTCTATACTGCCAGGGTTTGGCAATTTAGGTTTTAATAGTATATTTACACAAAATTTACAGCTGAATTCTACCACAAATCAATTCTTTTTATTGTAAATTAGTTACTGATTTCATAAATTAATATTGATCATTTGATTATTGTTTATAATTTAGTGTAGTTCAACAACTGCTCAATATCTTTTGGAAGCTACATCTAGGAAGCATACATTTAATTCAATTCCACAAATGCTTCTGTGTACCTACATCATGTCTTAGACACATTATACATTAAAATAAAGCTACACTGACAGCTAAATAGCCATGTTAATTATAAGCTTCCATTTACTGGCACTTAAAGCTCCTCAAAATAACTCCTCTTGGATCTAGAATATTTTACTCTCTTCTCATCTGCAAGATTATAGTTAAGGTTAAGTTTCACTAAGTTATCTAATTTCACATTTCAGGGACTTATCAAACCTTTAAACATTATATGATCTTACAGCGAGGACCTGTTAGGGGCCACTCTACCTTAAAATGAAAGAAATTGCTTCTTTTCCTAAATTAAAAATGTATTTAATTTTTGGGATTCAAACTAGTCATGACACTGTACTAATTAAATTAGAAATCCTAAGCAACATGAGAAATTGAATATATATTATTTCTTATACATATAACATGATTATGTGTTAATATATGAGGCATCTAAGTACACTTTAATGCATGTTTATTTGGAAAACTGCTCTCTGAAATACAGTTATTCTTTTTCTAGAAGGTGAAAATTGCTCCATATAGTTTGCAAACTTTTCCACTCACTTAGCTATTTTGTTACTTTAATTCTGAATGATAACATCTGACTAAAATTTGAATATTCACTAAAAGTTTTATTAGCTCAATAGCTTTAGAAAACTTACTAAAAAGCTGGGTGTCAGCTAGTGGAGGAGAAAATTCTATGCAAATATTTTATGCAACACAACTCAGAAACTGACTGTTTTTGTTATGCCTATTTCTCAGATATTTGAAAATTAGTCCTCAAAGTGTAATTAATGACTGTTATCCTTAATAGGGAATCTCAGCACACCAAAATAGTGCTTTGATTGAGGCCAAAATCTTTGCAGTTTTGGTCAAAACCACAGAGCCCTGAACGGTCTGCACATGATAGGCATTCACTAAACATTTGGTGAATAGATCTAATTAAACTCCAAGACCCCAGTTAAAGTTAACAGGCAGAATCAGAATTAATCACACCTCCTTAATTTAGGACTCTTTCATATGTATCATTTATTAACTTTTTACGATTATATTTTTAAAAAAAGCAATGAGGAAGGGCACCTGGTGGCTTAGTTGGTTGAGTATCTAACTCTTGACTCTTGGTTTCAGCTCAGATCATGATCTCATGGGTCCTGGGGATCAGGCCATGTGGGGCTCCATGCTCAGCAGTGAGTCTGCTTGAGATTCTCTCCCTCTGTCCCCTCCCCCCCACTCACAGGCACTCACTCACTCACACTTTCTCTCTCAAATAAATAAATATTTTTCAAAAAGCAATGGGGAAGGGACGCCTGGGTGGCTCAGTTGGTTAAGCGTCTGCCTTCGGCTCAGGTCATGATCCCAGGGTCCTGGGATCGAGTCCCGCATCGGGCTCCCTGCTCTGCGGGGAGCCTGCTTCTCCCTCTGCCTCTGCCTCTCTCTCTCTCTCTATCTCTCATGAATAAATAAATAAAATCTTTAAAAAAAAAAAAAAAGCAATGGGGAAAACAATTACTTCTGCAATGACTAATTTTTTAAAGAAATATGCTGATTCTGGGAAAAGTAAGCAGAGGTTTTGGTTCCAGTTTTAGATGGGTTGGATAATCTATGACGTTTACACAGTGAACACCAATATGTAGATACAAATGTTGACCTTTGAAGCCTGCAGGAAATCATAACTCCCTGAAACCTACACCATCAATTATCAAATGAAAATCTTATTATCAGTAGGTCTAGCTTCTGGCAGTAGCCAATCTTTGAAAATATAAGTCAGCATGAATTTGAAAAGGATACTGTGTGAATACAATAGTTTTACATGTCAATGCGAAATAATGAATGCTTCTGATACATTTTTTAGTTTTGTATTTAATACAGCTTATTAAAAAACTAATTTTATTCCCCCTCTGTATTACTATTCTTCTAGTGTACAGCTGCCAACCATAGTTAAATATGATTAGGCCTCATGCTGAGTTAATCAATCTGATAATGTCAGACATTATTAAGAAAGCATACATGATATGGTCACAATGTCTACTATCAAAAGCATGTACACCAAAGCCTTTGTTTCCCAGAAATTGCAACCGCTTAAATTAGCTCAGTTTTATTTTGTTTTGTTTTAAAGAATAAAAGAAAAAAAAAAACAACACCTTTTTTTATCTCTTCCTTAGGCAGGTACAAAAGATTATTGTTAAAATATTAATACTATGATGAACTATTTCTTTTGCCTTATCAATCCTTGTTTATATATAATGAAATAATCCCAAAATCACAATCATGATTAGAAAAACAAAAGCATAAATGTCCACAAGGTAATATCATATTCCAAAATAGTATCTTGAGGTAACTTTCTATTTTATTTTTGTTCATAATGATTAAAGACCTCACAACACAACCCACTCTACTTGTGATTTTTATAGCTTTGCTGCACTCAAGCTTAATTCTGAGCAATCAAAGGAAAAAGCAGCATGATCATTTGAACACACAGGACTGTATCATAATTCCACTAGAAACAAGATTCATACATTTTAGAAGGCAGAAAGCATTTTGAAATACATTATTTTTACAGACTTTCCACCTTTTTTTCTTTCTGAGGTCACAAAAAGATTCAAAGAAGGTAATGGAAGGGAGTTCTATGCTAAGGACAATTAACCTCTCCTTAGTTTATATATTAATTTTTTCAGTTAAAAATTATTTTTAACAGGGCGCCTGGGTGGCTCAGTCAGTTAAGCATCTGCGTTTGGCTGGGGTTGATCTCAGGGTCCTGGGATGGAGCCCCATGTCAGGCTCCCTGCTCAGTGGGGAGCCTGCTTCTCCCTCACCCTCTACCTGCTGCTCCCCTCACTTGTGCTCTCTTGCTCTGTCAAATAAATAAAATCTTTTTTAAAAAATTATTTTTAGCTTACTCCAAAGCAACCTTTCATGGAACTACAATTCTAAGAAATGGGTTGTAATTTACTGTATGAATCTTAGGGGAAAAAACTAGGAGGTAGGTAACTTACTGGAGAAGCTGTCTAGAGAAAGTAATTGAAAATCATAGAGCCTCTCCACCAACCTACGCACATGCCGGACAGCAGTCTTACTTTCACTGGCATCACAAGGCAGATAAAAAGAGACAGAAATTGTACAATAGAACAAAAATAAGCTTATCTCTACTTTTCTCCCCCATACCATGTCTTATCAATCTACAAAGCCCACAGAATCTTTTAGTAAGTCCCTTAAGTGACATCCTCTCTGATGTGGTCTGTGGAGACCAGATGGGATGAAGGAAAGCATCCTTTTTTTTTTTTTTTAAGATTTTATTTATTTATTTGACAGAGAGAGAGACAGCGAGAGAGGGAACACAAGCAGGGGGGGAGTGGAAGAGGGAGAAGCAGGCTTCCCAAGGAACAGGGGGCCTGATGCGGGGCTCAATCCCAGGACCCTGGGATCATGACCTGAGCCGAAGGCAGATGCTTAACTGACTGAGCTACCCAGGTGCCCCAGAAGTAAGCATTCTGAACAGAAAACGGCTCAAATTCAGATTTTTCATGAAACCAGATCTGCTGGGCAACATACTCTTCTCAAATACAAACTCAGTCTTCCAGACACTGTGACAGAAGAGACTAGGAGTCACACATGCTGCCTTCTCAGCCTAACACACTTCCTTCCCCCATGTGGCCTACTGAACTTAAGCTGCAAAGGTGTTTATTCAAAGATAATTTCTTTCTTGCCACTCCTCCTTATACCCTGTGTGATAGTACTTTCAAAGTAGCCTAAATATTTCTTTCAGAGTCTTTCTCACTATGACAATTAAATAAACTGAGAGTAGTAGTTGTCCTTTTCCTTTAGAATGTGGGCATCAACAATGGTTGCACTGTTCATTCCTATAGTTCCCTTGCCTGGCACAGTGCTTTGCACACTGTAGGCACTCAGCTGTTGCCTAAAGGGCAATATTAACATCTTAATCACAAGGTTATTTTGAGGATCAGATGAAACAATCCACATAAAGCTCAGGTTCTACCTAGCACTCAATATAAGTTATCAATTATTAATATTTTATATAAGAGCTTATAAAATAAGAGCAATTAGGCAATATTTATTAAAACTGTTCAAAAACTAGACATTGACACAGCTCCACTCCATTTATTAACTCCACAGCATTTATTGTAAAAAAGAGAGAGAGAGGGAGGGAGGGAGCTATGCAGGAAACTTATAAACAAAAATACTCAGTGCATCCAGCAAAGGAAACAGTCAACAAAACCGAAAGACAACCGACAGAGTGGGAGAAGATATTTGCAAATGACATATCACATAAAGGGCTAGTATCCAAAATCTATAAAGAACTCATCAAACTCAACACCCAAAAAACAAATAACCCAATCAAGAAATGGGCAGAAGACATGAACAGACATTTTTCCAAAGAAGACATCCAAATGGCCAACAGATACATGAAAAAGTGCTCAACATCGCTCGGCATCAGGGAAATCCAAATCAAAACTTCAATGAGATACCACCTCACACCAGTCAGAATGGCTAAAATTAACAAGTCAGGAAATGACAGAGGCTGGCAAGGATGCAGAGAAAGGGGAACCCTCCTACACTGTTGGTGGGAATGCAAGCTGGTGCAGCCACACTCTGGAAAACAATATGGAGGTTCCTCAAAAATTTGAAAATAGAGCTACTGTACAACCCAGCAATTGCACTACTGGGTATTTACCTCAAAGATACAAATGTAGTGTTCCAAAGGGATACGTGCACCCCAATGTTTATTTCAGCAATGTCCACAATAGTCAAACTATGGAAAGAGCCAAGATGTCCATCAACAGATGAATGGATAAAGAAGATATGGTGTATATATACAATGGAATATACTGCAGCCATCAAAAAAACCAAAATCTTGCCATTTGCAATGACGTGGATGGAACTAGAGGGTATTATGCTAAGCGAAATAAGTCAGCCAGAGAAAAGACATGTATCATATGATCTCACTGATATGAGGAATTCTTAATCTCAGGAAACAAACTGAGGGTTGCTGAAGTGGTGGGGGGTGGGAGGGATGGGGTGACTGGGTGATAGACATTGGGGAGGGTATGTGCTATGGTGAGTGCTGTGAATTGTGTAAGACTGATGAATCACAGACCTGTACCTCTGAAACAAATAATACATTCTATATTAAAAAAAAAAAAAAAAGATAGTAGGAAGGGAAAAATGAAGGGGGGGAATCGGAGGGGGAGACAAACCATGAGAGACTATGGACTCTGAGAAACAAACTGAGGGTTCTAGAGGGGAGGGGGTTGGGGGGATGGGTTAGCCAGGTGATGGGTATTAAAGAGGACACATATTGGGCGCCTGGGTGGCTCAGATGGTTAAGCGTCTGCCTTCAGCTCAGGTCATGATCTCAGGGTCCTGGGATCGAGTCCCGCATCGGGCTCCCTGCTCCTTGGGAGCCTGCTTCTCCCTCTGCCTCTCTCTCTCTCTCTCTCTGTCTCTCATGAATAAATAAATAAATAAATAAAAAGAATGTATTTAAAAAATAAATAAATAAATAAAAAATAAATAAAGAGGACACATATTGAATGGAGCACTGGGTGTTTTATGCAAACAATGAATCATGGAACACTGCACCAAAAACTAATGATGTAATGTATGGTGATTAACATAACATAATAAAATAAAATTTAAAAAAAATTTAGTGCATCAATTTAAAAAGTAAAGAATTCTAGTAATAAAGGATAAATGATAGAACATACAGATAAGGAACTATGTGGACAGTGAAAAATCATTCTTTATGAATCTAGGTATTTTCTCAACAAAGAGTTTTTATAACTTAAATACAAAATACTAATTTTTTGTATTCACAGACTGCCTTTGGTTTTAAACATAATCCAGAATGATCAGAAATCAGCACCAGATACAGGAAGAGATAATACAGCAGCATAGCAATTTGCTACTACTATACTTTTAAAAAAATAATTTTTAAAACAACAGTCCTGTACTATATATTTGACACCCCTTCTTTTACCAATAGCACCTTTTTTTTTTTTGCATTGCAGCAAAGGGTTTCTGCACAAGAATGATTCAATTACTAAGAAGAGTCAAATCTGTTAACATCTGAGTAATTTTTAAATAACATATACTACATCAACTTCAAATGAAAATAGTCCTGGAAAAGTGGGAGAATGATTCCTAATTCAACAATTTTAAAAGTTCAGTCACTTATTCCATGATGCTTTAAAATTATTATACTGATATTTATATTATAAAATTGTTGTATTATCTATCTTTGATAGTTAATTTTATGTGTCACAGCTTGACTAGGCTGGTGGGGAGAGGTTACCTGACATCTGGTCAAACAGTACTCTGAGCGTGTCTCGCGGTGTTTCTGAATGAAATTAACATTTGCATCAAAGACTGAGTAAAGCACATTGCCCTCCATAATGTGGGTGGCCCTCAACCAATCAGTTCAAGGTCCAAATAGAACAAAAAGGCTGGCCTTCCCTGGAATAAGAGAGAAGTCCTCATGTCTGAGCACTTGAGCCAAGACATCAGTCTTTTCTTGCCAACTTTGGGTTCCCAGTCAACTCAAACTGAAACATCAGCTTTTCTTGAGTCTTAAGTTTGTCAGCTTTTGGACTGAACCACCTGCCATCAGCTCTCATGATTCTTAGGCCTCTGGACTCAGATTGGAACCACATCATCGGCTCTCCTGGATCTCCAGTGTGTATAGCGCGTATCTTGGGACTTCTGAGCCTCCATAATCACATGAGACAATCCCTTATAATAAATCTCTTTCTCTCTCCATAAATACATCCTGTTGGTTCTGTTTCTCAGGAGAACCCTAATACATCACACCCATTTCAAAACTTTCCCACTCCACACACACACTCCAATATACTCACATTCAATATCCTTTGAAGACCCATCAGAATACAAGCTCCAGAAACTCAAGGTCCATGTTTCCCTTCATTATTGCTATTATCTCTACTTTTGCACGCCTACTACATGGTAAGCACAAGGAATAGAGGAATAAATAAAATAAATCTGGTTCCCTCCAAATTGCTCACAGGTTAGAGAAGATGCAAATAGATCGAATTAGCAACAGCCTGTTAACAAATGGACTATAAATTCAGTTGTCAGGATAATTTCATAAATGTTAGATAACTGTCATTCTTAATCCAGGATGTGTGATTAAAAACCAAATCTGCTCGAGAAAAACAACTGCACACCTAGGAGAAACTATTAAATGAGTTCCTGAAACTGTTACTAAGCATTATAACTAGTAACAAATATCCACACAAATAACTTTCCGACAGAGAGAGCTAGAGCTATCAGAAGCCAGTAATGATGTGTTCACTCAAACCATTTCCTCCTTATTTCTTTTGCCAAGGCATAGCGAGGAAAAGCTCAAAAGACAAAAATACTGGGTTGGTACTTGTATCAGAGCCTGTCCTCTCTGCATATCTGTATGCACTCCACAGTTCCTGGGGGCCAGAATACCTGAACCACACAAAATCTTGTCTAGGAGGAAAACAGAATCAGCCCTGCAGAGAGGTGGGTTAAGCCCCCAATGTGTTTGCAAACCAGATTGAGTGGTTCCCATGACTCCCACGCCTTGGTTTCAGGTTCCTCCTGTAGGTGCGGAGTAACCCAAGCCCATGGGGCTCTTGTTGAAAGAAGTACAGAGACAGCAAGAGACAAGCGCAGCTAAGTCCTATTTACACAAATCTGCCATTCCAGCACATGCCCTGCACCCAAAGGCAATCCTACCACAGTAGACTGAGGGTGGCAGCAGAAGAGGATTCCTGATCCTCACTCCCTGGATGACCTTGTGGTCGGGGGAGCCCTCTAGATAAAAGAAACAAAATCGTCCACTGAAATAAAAATGGCAAAAAGGAAAGGATTCTTGACCACAAGTCAAGGGCCCCAAAAGTAGGGACCTCTCTGGCCCATGGCTGCTGGGATAGTAGCCAGAGAATAAATGCATGAGCCACTCAAGGTCTGCACTTGGACTAGGCATTTCTGCAGTTCCCAGTTAAAAAGAGAAGCTCACACCAAGACTTTCAAGAAATTCCTAGTTCCTAATGTTACTGTGACTCCTATTTCTTGATTCAGAGCTGCTCAGGCCTTGGAAAACATGTTGGTTACTTATAAATAGAATAAAACAATTTCTCCCCTTTTCTACCAGGCCTTTTACCACATTACGTAAGCTGCACATTATTTTCCTTTCTCCACGATTTCTCTCAACTACTGCTTCCACCACCATGGGCTTTCTGCTCTCTGCCGACAAAAGCTCCAGCACAATCTATCCAGCTGTTGCTGCTCCTGCTGCAGTAGCAACTAAAAGCTGTTCTCTGGTGCCCAAAGTAGATGACATTTTCTTAACCAGCCCTTTACCTGACAGAAAAGCATCTTCCTTTTTCTCCCTTGCCCTTGACTCAGCCCTGAAATCTGCTCCTTTTGGATGGTGAGAACTGATCTGAGTAGGCCATGTGCCTTTCCAGGCCAATAAATACAGTTCGGTCACTGAGTGTCATCTACTTTTCTTTATTTGAACGTGTCCCAACAGCAAACACAGTTCCTAAGGCCTTCGGTCTTCAGCCTTTAACTCTACATGCTAACTGTAAGTGGGTTTCAAATGTCCACCTAAAACAAACTTCCTATACGAGACGTGCAAATCCAGCTTCCTTACTATCCAGATCCCTGTTGCCTCCACCACACGTGTTCCTTCCTGGGTGAGAAAGTCCCGGGGGTAGAAGGAGCCACTAGGTACACAAAAACAAAATCATCTACTGGAAGAAGTGGCAAAATGGAATACATTTTTATTTTTGCTGGGCTTCTTGGTTTCTCTGTCCACTTAATCCATGTTCCACACCCAGGTCCCCTTATTTACAGCTCCCACGACAGCTCTCATTTTCAAAGTTTAGGAGAGAACTGCTGCTGGTCTCAGTCACCTCTTCAGTTGAGTCATGCATGTCCTTTTTTTTTTTTTTTTTTTAAAGACATATTTACCTGAGAGAGAGAGAGCATGCACGCAAGAGAAGGGGGGAGAGGGAGAGAAATCCTTAAGCAGACTCCCCACTGAGCATGAGATCATGACCTGTGCCGAAATCAAGAGCCAGATGTTCAACCAACTGAGCCACCCAGAAGCCCCGATCTTGATTCATATCCTGATTTCATCCACCTTTTCTAGACTAAACCCCTTTATCCATGTCTGTACTTCTCTGTATGACTTGGGGAGGGCAGGGATGTAGAATGAGATGGGTACTCTTACTTCTCAGCAGAGCTGAGCTCAGTAGAACTGATCCATTTGCCACCTTCAATGACCTGAATTCCCACCCCCAATCACAAGCACCTTGCAATATTAATCCTCATTCTGTTTTTCTATGTACTTATTTATTGGGGGGGGGGCACACAAGCAGGAACAGAGGCAGAGGCTGAGAAAGTAGCAGACTCTCCACTGAACAGGGAGTCCAATGCGGGCCTCGATCCCAGGACTCTGGAATCATGACCTGAGCCGAAGACAGATGCTTAACCGACTGAGCCACCCAGGCACCCCATCATTCTGCTTTTTATCTTCAATTTTTCCATCTCCCTTGGTTCGTCATCCTTAGCATACAATCTCAAGCCTCTTTAGGTCCTTCAACAAAACTCCTCCTTCAACACTGGGGCCCCAAGATTCTGGTTCTCTCCTTCTTCCCAATACACCTTCAACTACAAGGTAAGTCTACATACAAAGTTGCCCCTTCCTCATCTTGCACTCAATCCTGAACCCATTACAATGGGATTTCTACTCTGCAACACTCCACTGATGCTGTACCTGCTAAGATACCCAAGACCTGTCTCTGAAATGCAATGGACACTTTTTAATCCTTATATAACATGGCATCCATCTCTCTGCTGTATTTCACAAGACTGAAAAATATCTTCTTACTGAAAATTTACTTTCTTGGCTTCTATAATAGTCCTGTAGCCTGGGAAAATTACCCATTCAACTGTGAGCTCAATATCATGAACTGTCACTATATCCCCTGTCTATACTTCTCAATTTTCAGGACAAAGACATTAACTCTACCATGCGTTCATTTGATTTCTGAAGTATATACGAAGCTCAGGATTGACTGGCAAATGTACAGACCATCATTCCATCCCTCTCAGTACTCCAGATTTTATATGTGGATCATACCAAACCATGCATGCTTGGTCCATACAATCATGGTATCTCACATAACTCTTCTTATCAAATCATGCTTTAACATTATGGCCTTGAGTTTCTTTTTTTTTTTTTTTTTTTAGATTTTATTTATTTATTTGAGAGAGAGAGAGAGCACAGCGGGAGGCGGGGGGGAAGCAGAGGGAGAGGGAGAAGCAGACTCCCCACTGAGCAGGAAGCCCGATACAGGACTCGATCCCAGGACCCTGGGATTATGACCTGAGCCAAAGGCAGACGCTTAACTGAATGAGCCACCCAGGCACCCCTATGGCCTTGAGTTTCATTGTGAGATCAAAAAGAAGCCGTCCTATTAAACCTATCACTACATATATTATAGGGAATGTTACTGAAGAAACCATTCCCAACATTTTCCAAAAAGACTCTTTTTGAGGCTCCCACAGAGGGACTCTATTTGAGAATTAAGTCCTAAAAAAGGGTTTCATGTGGTATCCTCACATACAAATTTCACTCACCTCTACTTTTTTTCTCTTTTGTTATATTTAGAGTCAAATTCATGATCCAGTCATAACAGCTGTGGGACCTAAAGACATGAACATCCACTGTTTCTTTCTTCCTAGTTTGGACATTTAATTCTGGTTTGCATTTCCCCCTATAGAGATTGGGAGCAAATGTTAGATCTCTTAGATTTGCATTCTAGCCCCATCTCCCAGAATGTTAAATTTTGGCAAGTTATTTAACTCCTCCTAAGCATCATTTTCTCAAGTGCAAACACAGATAAAAGCAGTATATACATGATACGACTTGTGCTAAGAATTAGACAAGATCACGTGCCTAGCTCAGAGTAAGCGTGCACTTAATACTATTAGTAGTAGCAGTAGTAGTCACCATAAATCCATAAATCCTCTGTGGAATGAGACGGAGTACAAATACACTGTAGTCTGGACCATCCATTCTAGAAACTTTAAAAACAAAACAAAATAAAACAAAAACCCAGGGAGGCTTAGGGCTATCTATTCTAAGGCACCACTAACCTGCTGCTTCACCAAAATTTTACACTAATAAAAAAGGGTAAGAACACTATGACTTTTGTGGTGTATATATTTTTATAAAATCTTACACTGAGTCCAAGATATAAACTATCTATGAACCAAGCTCTATAATAAAAAGTCTTTTAATATTCCTTTTAAGTCTTACCAAAAATACTATAAATATCAAAATGACCAAAATGTTCTTTTAGTAAAGCAATTATGCTCCTTGAAATTAAAGACAGTTATGTTCCAACCATCCTTTTTTTAAAAAACGTATCACAAATTATACCTCTTAAATGAGAGACCCTTCCCCAACTATAGTAATAAAAAACAAAGAAAAGCATCCTCCACTATGCTGACATAACCCTATTATCTTGTTCCAAAAAGGCACTCAAGAAGCAGCTGAATCTGTTAGTCTATTACTGTCAAAACTAAATATCAATTTTGCCAAAGCTGAAACCATTGCTATTAGCAGATGTTCTTCACAAATTCTATTCAAAAAGTTAACTCATTTAATTAGTTAAGAAGTACAACCTAGCCGCACACAAGAACTTTATGTAAATGGTTAAACATAGTATCTTTCCATATGGCTCTCACATACAGATATCAGACTTTACAGCTAATACCTGACAAAAAGATATAAATAAATAAAAGAAACCCATGGTTGCTTGCTCACCTAACTCAATTAAGATGTCAAAATCTCCCAGCCGTCCCAATGTCTCAAGTGGTTTATTAAATATAGAATTAATAAACTGCTGTATCCCATGTTTTTCCTCAGCTAAGAACATACCTTCACCTACCTCTCAGCTAAAGGTTAATAGTTCCTTCTCTCATCCTCATTACAGAAGGTAAAGACAGGAGTCCAGGAGGTACTTATCAGTTTTGTATCACCAACGTTACACTAGCTTTTCCTCATCAGAAAGTTATTTTCCTTCGTACATTTAGAAAGCAAGCTAGCACAATTCCAAGAGTTTTATGTCTTCTGAAGCTAAAGACTTTTGTACCAAAATTTAAGACTTAAGTAAGATTTAAACATTATGCAGTCTTGGTGGTTTGCCTTAACTTCTACATAGGTAAAAGGTTTTTCGAATACCAAAGCATTCCAAACAGTCTTGCCTCTCTAACACAGACTATCATACTTTAATAAGGACTTTCAAACTAATTTCTAAGGTCTTGAATTCTACCATACCCTTGCACTGCTTACTAAAATACCAAATATTCCACTGAATTATAGGGATTTATTACATAGGAGATTATGTTCTTACTTTTAAAAAAATGTTTTTATACATAATAGGATTAAAGAACTCATTTTTCACATTTTAAATTTTATGTTTTCTGATTTAATTTTTTTAATTAAAACAATCCTGAAATATTCTTGGCACTGAAAATAATTCAAGTACAATTTGATATAGGCTTATAATTTACAACAGCTCTCCATTCTAAAAAAAAAAAAAGTATTGGGGCGCCTGGGTGGCTCAGTCGTTAAGCGTCTGCCTTCAGCTCAGGTCAGATCCCAGGGTCCTGGGATCAAGTTCCGTATCGGGCTCCCTGCTCGGCGGGAGGCCTGCTTCTCCCTCTCCCTCTCCCCCAGCTTGTGTTCCCTCTCTCGCTATATCTCTCTCTGTCAAATAAATAAATAAAATCTTTAAAAAAAAAAAAGTATTGTAAATGTATATAATAAATGGTGTTTTTAAATTGAATAATATATCCATCATGCTTACCATATGTACAATAACTCCAAAAAAAACCTAATATATTAAAAATCTCCTTTGTAAGTCAGACGCTTTCGAAGACATACAGATCAATAATATTTTAAAAGAATTATTTATTTATTTATTTATTTGAGAGAGAGAGAGAGCACGCTCATGAATGGGAAAGGCAGAGGGAGTGGGAGAGAGAATCTCAAGCAGATTCTGCACTGAGCAAGAAGCCCAACATGGGGCTCAATCCCACGAACCCGAGATCACGACCTAAGCTGAAACCAAGAGCTGGATGCCCAACTGACCCACTACCCCCCAGATCGCTAATTTTTAACCCTGCAATGTTACACACATATCTAGGACAACACTGTGACAAATTAAAAAAGGGAAATTTAACACTAAGATACTACTTTCAATGACACAAAAGAAAGAATAAAATTTCATTTTTTTTTAAAGATATTTACTTTTGTGAGAAAGTAAATTGCTTTTGATAAAGACATTAAACAAAATCCCCCTTCAACCTCAGGTCCTCTTAGGTTCTGGTTCTCCCATCCTTTTCACAACTTGCTTCTATAAAGAGAAGTCTACACACAGAGTACTTCTGTGCGAAAAGAGAATTCCAGACCAACTATTCTATTTAATGAATTTAAGTTAGATTTTGCAGTTATTAATCTAATTTCATGTATTTTCTGCCCATAACTCTTAGTAAGGAAAATGAGTGAATTTCTTTTGTTTATAAAGTGGGAAGGTTCTGCAGACCCCTTCCACCCTGAAATCTTCTACAGAAATCTTTCACTTAAGGAAATGAAACACCATAAAGATCTTTGAGTATGTTAAATCATGCAAACAATTTCCAAACAGTAGACGCGATTATAAAGCAATCTTTCTTTTTTCTTTTTTTATTAAAGATTTTATTTATTTGACAGAGAGAGAGTGACACAGCGAGAGAGGGAACACAAGCAGGGGGAATGGGAGAGGGAGAAGCAGGCTTCCTGCTGAGCGGGGAGCCTGATGCGGGGCTCGATCCTAGGACCCTGGGATCATGACCTGAGCTGAAGGCAGACGCTTAACGACTGAGCCACCCAGGCGCCCCTCTTTTTTTTTTTTTTTAAGATTTTATTTATTTATTTGACAGAAAGAGACACAGCAAGAGAGGGAACACAAGCAGGGGGAGTGAGAGAGGGAGAAGCAGGTTTCCTGCTGAGCAGGGAGCCCGATGCGGGGCTCGATCCCAGGACCCTGGGATCATGACCTGAGCTGAAGGCAGACCCTTAACCGACTGAGCCACCCAGGCGCCCCTAAAGCAATCTTTCTACATGTTAACATATACACAGGCACCCCTAAAGCAATCTTTCTACATGTTAACATATACACATGCAATGTAGGCTCTGGTCACTGAATTCAACTCTAAGAAAAATTGCTGTATTTGATTTTTTTAAATACTGTTTTTTATGAGAAGAAATAATATGGTAACAAAAATGCAACATTTTCAGCAGATACTCAGATAAAAGGGAATAAACCCTAGCATCTTATGGAACTATGTCCCCCCAAATAACTTAAATAACTTTATACACACACACACACACACACACACTTCCAAGGGTCACGAGGAAGGAGTGATGTAGAAGTGCCCAAGAGACACGGAAAGGCTGTCTTGTCTATTTTAGGAGAGAGGGGATGGCCCTTCTGCAGCTCTTCTGTAGTTACTCAAGAAATCCCACAGAGATACTGGTTGGTAATTTCATGTCCCTGTTGCATACATTTCCCATAACCTAAAGTCACTTTTTGTGACTTCTTTTCCACTGCAATTTAAAAACACAGATTAAAAAAAAAGATTCAAGTATCAAATCATTATGCTGTACACCTGAAACTAATATAACATTGTATGTTATTTATACCTGCAATAGAACTTAATTTATTAATTAATTTTAAAAAGGGAGGAGAGTTTTAAGTATGAGACAGGCAGGTAGTAAACTAGGGAGAAGAGGTACCCAGCACCTGAGCCCTGCAAGGGGGTAGAAGAGAGAAGTGCAGCCTCAGGTAATCTGTGGGCCCAAGATACTCTGCAGAGAAAACAGGGAGGGGGCAACATCCTCAATGGGAAGAGATGACACTGCAATGATTCATGCAGTGTGTCATGAAGGCTTTCCTCCACCTACTCTATACTGTCCTCAATAAAAATTCACTTGTTCCCTAAAAACAAACAAAAAACTCAACATTTCAGATGACATGATTGTCTTCTGAAAAATCTAAAAAAATCAACAAAAACATTCCTGAAACTAATAAGCAATTATAGCAAAGTTGTATGATACAAGGTCAACACACAAAAGTTAATTGCCTTCCTATATACCAGTAATGAACAAGTGAAATTTGAAATGAAAAATACAATCCCATTTACATTAGGAACACCCCCAAAATGAAATACTTAGTTATAAATCTAACAAAATATGTACAAGCTCTATATGAGGAAAACTGAAAAAAACTCTGATGAAAGGAATCAAAGAATTAAAGACCTGGAGATATATTCTATATCCATGGATAGGAAGATTCAATATTGTCAAGATGTTAGTTCTTGATTCTAAAGTTTACAAGGAGAGGGAAAAGACCCAGAAGAGCCAACACAACATTGAGGATAAGAAAAAAGTTTAAGGACTACCCAACTTCAAGACTTATTATAAAGCTACAATAATCAAGACAGTGCAATACTGGTGAGACAGACAAATCAATGGAACAGAATAGAAAGCCCAGAAATACCCCCACAGAATCAACCTGATCTCTGATGAAGGAACAAAGGTAATACAATGGAACAAAGGTAGTTTTTCAACAAATGGTGCTTAAGTAACTGACATCCACATGCAAAACAACAACGACGACGAATCTAGATACAAACCTTACGAACTTTTCAAAAATTAACTCAAGAT